ATATATATTTATATATATTGTATTTTTTTAAATAATATCTTCTTTGCATTTTTTTATTGTTAAAAAATTAAATTTTTTTTTTTTTTTATTTTGTAATCTTTAAAAAAACACAAACAAAAATTAACTTTTATAATACTATATAACTTTTATTTTATTTAATTCATATTTTTTTTTTTTAATTTATTGCTTCTTTTTTTAATATAATTAAATTAATAAATATTTATAATATTAACATAAAATAAAAAAAAAAAATAATTAAAAATTATATAATTTAATAACATAAATTTATTTTTAAATATTAATATTTTTAAAAATTAAAAAATTATATTTGTATATAAAAAAATAAAATAAAAAAAATTAAATACATCTATATAAATAAAAAGAATGTTATTAAGTAATACTTAAAAAGAGTTTTATGAAAATGAAATGAAAAAAATAATTATAAATTAAGGATATAGCACAGTATAATTTACTGAATTATAATATATTTTACAATTAGAAGATGTATAAAATATTTAAAATGATAAATTAATAGATAAAATATCTTAAAAATTAATAGAATTATTATATTCAAATAATTAAACTAATAATATTCTTTAAAATTAAGTCATTTAAAATAATGTAATAATAAGAGAAATTGTATAATAATTTAGTTAAATATTATTAAAAAATAATGAAGAATTTATTAAAAATATAAGCCTTTAATAAGAAATTATATAAAAAAGTTAAAAGTATAAATAAAGTAAAAAAAAAATAAAGAAAATATATATAAATAATATTTAAAAATATAAATATAGCTTAGTTACAAAACAATAATGTTGAATAAAATTCTAAATAAATCGAAATTATTCCAATACAACAAAATACTACGTAAAAATTAAATATATATATATATATATATATATATATATATATATATATATATATATATTTATTTAATGCTTATCCATAAATTTATTTATTCAAAATATAGATATAAATAAAATTAAAAAACTCTTTATAAAAATGAATGTATATGTTCTGTTAGTGAATTATTAACAAAATATAGATTAATTGAAAAAAATATAAAATGTGTATTTTGTTATTCTTTTTTTCATTCAGAATGTATTAATATTGCCTAAAATTCGTTTCAGTCGTAAATATTTGAATGTCCTTTATGTGTTTTATATAAAATAGATCCCCTAAATTAAGTAATAGAGACTATAATTCCTCCTACATGCTTATATGGGGGTCAAACATCTATTTAATTCTAAATTAATTCAGATTAATTTAAATAATTTTAAAAAAAAGATTATTAAATTGAAATTAGATGCATAAGAATTGACGGGAGTAAAAATATGTATGAATATACATGGCCTGATATATGTTAGATCAGTATAAATAAATAAAAAATAAAGGAATATATACCTTTATAGTAGAATTCTGCTTTAAAAAAACGAAAAGACGACAAATTAATTATAAAGGAAATCGATAATTTATTAAAGCATAAAAACGAATTAAAAATCGACGAAAATTACATTTCTTCTTAATAAAAAAACTTTCGAAAAATTTAATTTTTTTCCCATTTTTTTTCTATTTTTTTAGTCGAGAAAAAAACTCGCGAAAATTTCTTACAAAAAATTCCCATAAAAAATGGTACTTTAGAAAAAATACAACAAATATTAAATTAAAAAACGATGAAAATGAAGACCTAATTTTTACTCAAGAAAAGTTCTTCCTGAACCTAAAATGTCCTTTTGATCTGAAGATATTAAAAACACCTGCCAGAGGACTTTTTTGTAGCCATTTATAGTGTTTTTCATTAGAAAATATGCTAGTATTTGGATAAAATATGAGCCCAAGTAGGTGGAAATGTCCCATTTGTAAGATTAAATGCTTTGATTTTGTCATAGATGGGTTTTTGGTACATGTTTTAAATAGTTTTAAGGAAAAAGGGGTCAAAGTGGAAGAAATAGTATTCGAAAAAGGGGGTGGATATGATATTTCGAAGGTCTTTTAGTAAGAAGATTAAGAAGAGAAAAGTGAAGAATAATTTTTTTTTTCGGAAGGAAAAAAAATAGAGAAATTTAATAGAAAAAGAAAGAGAAGCTAAATTTTCGAATATAATTAATTTTATGAGAAAAATAAGATTTTGGAAGATTTAATTAAATAGAATTTGTAAAATGAAGTTTTTTAAAAAAATTTTGATTAGTTTTTAGATTACAAGGAAATAGAAGAAAAATAAAAGGAAAATTTATCTGAAAATGTAATTTAAAAAACTGTTTAGGAAATTTAGAACGAAAATATAAATATTTAAGACTATTTTTTAAACAATAATACATTTTAAGGAGATTAATAAGATAATTAGGAAAATAATATCATTATTTAAAAAGAAAATAAAGATATATATAAGGAAAATAATGGTATATAAGATTAAGATAAGGATAATTAAGATAAAAATAATAATACATAGAAAGAAAAAAACAGTAGTATTTAGGATATAAATAACAGTATTATTTAGAATGAAAATAAAAGTGTTATTTAGAATGAAATTAATAATATACAGGATAAAAATAATATTATTAATAATAATAATAATAGTATATAGTAAGAAAATAAAGAATTTTAAAATGATTTTTAAATCCAGAAAGAGTTTTTTATAGAAAAAATAACGAAAAATATTATATATTAATTTCCTTTTTTAAATAAGAAACATTTTGGTTTCGAGGATAAATTGAAAAAATAAAAAGTTAATAATGAAAATAATTAAATGGAAATAAATAATTTTTAAGAAAAAAAAAAATTTTCTTCTTTTTTGTAAAATAATTATCCTTCTTTTTATTAATTTAATGAAATTAATATGTTTAAAAAGAGTTAAAAAAAATAGTATTTTAATATTGATTTTTAAAATAATAATATTTTTAACTATTTTGGTTAAAATGGGTCTTTTGCTAATGTTTTTTAAAGTAATTCATAAGAAAATTAAAACCTTTTTGAGTATTATTCAAATAAAATAATTTAGAATTTCTCAAATATGAGTATTAAATAAATTGAAAATTAATAATAATGAAAAAAAAATATATATATATATTTATATATATATATATTTTTTTTTTTTTTTTTTTTTTTAAAAAATAATAACTTATTTATTTATTTATTATAAAAAAAAAAAACAGTTCAAAAATAATAAAAAAAAAAAACTATTTTTGTTTATTAAAATAATAAAAAAACTAAACAAAAATGTCAAGAACATAACCTCATTTTTTTCCTCCATAATATAGACATAACCCACTTCTTTTAAAAGATGATGTAGGAAAAGCTAAACCTTCAGCCTATGATTTACCTCCTATCGAGTTTACATATGGATGTCCATTAAAAAGAGATGAAGAAGGTGCAAAAGAAGGTAATTTAAATATAAATATAAATATAAATATAAATATAAATATAAATATAAATATAAATATAAATATATATATATATATATATATATATATATATATATATAATAAAGTTAGTATGTCATGGAAATTCCATAGAGAAACAAGAGATAAAATACCTGATCGTGATTTTGCAAAACTAAATAAAATGTCACTAACTTAAGGATTCCATAAAGCTCGTGTATATAACATAAATAAATATATTTTATAAATATATATTTATTTTTAGGATCTTTCATAATATAGAAAATAAGTAGATGCCAGAAAAAAATTAGAAAAAGGACATAATGCTCTTCCTTTATATATACCTGAAGAAGAATTTCGTTATGGAATGCCTAATAGGTAGTTTTTTTTTTTAGATTAGATATTTATTTATATAATAGATCTTCTACTCCTATGAAATTAGTAATAGGAAATTGCTATGGTTTAGAATACTAATAAAGATTAGAATAAGAATATGTTTTAAGAAATTAATAAGTACATTTATAATTATAAATACATATATATGAACAAATAATTTATAAAATCATTAGAGTTACATTAAATGTAAATAGTATCCTAAAGGAAATAAGGCAAGTGATTTAAATTATACGTATAATATGGAAAAATTGAAATAAATAAATGATAAAAATAAAAAGGAATTATTTAAAATTTCAAAATTTAAAATTGTAAATCCTAAAACAAATACATATTTAGTAAAAAATAAGTAAAAAAAATTATAAGAAAATGTTTCAGATGAAAATTAAAATTTAAATAATGCTCTACCTGATTAAGCAGTTGAATGAAAGATTAAAATATATATATATTTATATATATTATATATATAACATTTATCATTAAATTAAATAATATTTTTTTAAACAATAAAAACAATTATATTAATATTTTTTTAAAAAAATTAAAATTTAATTTATATCTATTCATATCTATATATATAAATATATATAATTAATATAATAAAAATAAAATAAATATATAAATATTTATTAAATAAAAATATATAAAATAAATATTTAATATTTAAATATATAAATAAATATATAAATATATATATTTATTTATATTTTTTTATTTTTCAAATTTATATAAATATATATTTAATATTATATATTTTATATTTATTTTGTTTATATAATTAATATTTTTTTTATATTTTTAACTATCGTTTAAATTTAATAAAACCTTACATCGATAAAAATAATATTAAATATAATATAAATATATTATATCTTATATATATTTTTTGCTGATTATATTAAATAAATATTTTTTTATTTTTTGATCTTTATTTTGTCTTAATGCATTTTTAAAATTTTCTATTTAATTTTTTTTAATTATATATCATTGTATTTAAACGAAAACTAATAAAATCAAATTAATTATTATAAAATAATAATCTATATTTATATATTTATTTATATTTTTTTTTTTTTCAAATGTAAACTAATATTTAATATTATATACATAAAATTTATAAATTTATTATTTTAATAGTTTTAATATTATTTATCTTTTTAAATTCTTACTTTATTTTTTTCATTTTTAAACGATTGATGATATTATTATTTTTAATATGAAATTTTATATAATTAATAACACTTTTATGTTCTTAATTATAAAAAATATCATATTAAAATCTTCACATAGCAGTTTAATAAGGCAATTAAAAAAAATTAATTAATTAATTTTATACCCTAGCATATAATTTATAAATAAAATTAAAAATTAATTAATTTCTTATATATTTAATAAATTAATATAATTAATTAAAATTTCTATATTAATGATTTTTCAAAATAATATTAATTAATTTTATAATAAATATAACGTGAAAATAATAACAAATATTTTTTAATTAAAAATAATTTTTTTTTCTTCAATTTTTTTTTTTATATAAATAAATAAATAAATAATTAAATAAATAAATAAAAACATAAATAAAAATATAAAAACATATAAAAAAAAAAAATATAATAATTTATTATAAATAAAAAAAAGGAAAAAAAGAAAATACATTTTTAAAACAAAAAAAATAAAAATAAAAAAAAAACACATATTATAAAAATGGCTGATTAATTAACAGAAGAATAAATTGCTGAATTCAAAGAAGCTTTCTCTCTTTTTGATAAGGATGGTGATGGTACAATTACCACTAAAGAATTGGGTACAGTTATGAGATCATTAGGTAAAATAAATTAAAAAAAAAAAAATAGAGAAATTAAATTTTTTTATTATAGGTTAAAACCCAACTGAAGCAGAATTATAAGATATGATTAATGAAGTAGATGCTGATGGTAATGGTACAATAGATTTCCCTGAATTTTTAAGTTTGATGGCAAGAAAAATGAAGGATACTGATACTGAAGAAGAACTTATTGAAGCATTCAAAGTATTTGATAGGGATGGAAATGGTTTAATTTCAGCAGCTGAATTAAGACATGTTATGACAAATTTGGGAGAAAAATTAACTGATGAAGAAGTTGATGAGATGATTAGAGAAGCCGATATTGATGGTGATGGGCATATTAATTATGAAGAATTTGTTAGAATGATGATGGCAAAATGAAATAGATTTTTTAAATAAAAATAAATAAATAAATAAGATAAGATAAAAAATTAAATATAAATTATTAAATATATATTTCACAAATAAATATTTTCTTATTTTTAAAATTTTTTAAATATAAATATATTTTCTATTTAAATTTTTTTATTATAATATATATATTTATATACATTACATATAGTAATTATTTTGTTAACTTTATGAAATAAATTTCTTAAAATTATTGACAAAAAATTAAATTAAAAAATATTTAAACTTATAATTTAATATATATTATAAATATAAATATAAATATATATATATATTTATATATATATATATATATATATCAGAAATTTTTTATCATTTTTCATTTTTTTTTTTATTCTCATATATATTATTAATATATTAATGTCATTTAATTTGTTTCTATTATTTTTAAATTTATAAAATCTATTTTTTTTATAACTTTCATAATTAAATTTTTTTTCATTAATAATGTTTTATAAATTTCAATTAAAATTATAAGTTATTTAATTTTTTTATAGTTATAAATTTAAAAAGATACTTTTTTTTATATTGTTTACACATTTTTATTATTAATTAGTAAATGTTTTAAAATAATATTTAAACTAATCATTTCTAAATTATTTAATAATTTAAATAAAATATTATAAATGCTTTTATAAAATGTGATTTTAAATTATAATAATTTACTTTATAAATTTTTTAAATAAATTAACTGTTTAAATTAATTTTATATTTAATTTTTATTTTTAGAAATAAAAAATTAAAATTTTTCAATTCAAAAAAAAAACTATTGAAGTTAATATATATCAAATTTAATGTATTTTAATTTATATAATTAGAAGATTTGATCTAATTAAAAAACATAAATTGAATTTTTTTAAAATTAAGAATATTTAATTTACATTTAATAATATATTTTCATACTTAAGTTCTATTAATTTTTATTAAATAAAATTAAAATTTTTTAAAAAATAAAATGATTTTTTTATTTATTTAAATTAAGTTTAAAAATATATATATTTTAATAATTAATTTATTTTTATCATTTTTGTATTTATTAATAATATAATGTATAATATGTCTTTTTTTATTAATGTTTGTTATTAATATATTTAAATTTTTTTTTAAAATAAATTATTTTTATTTAAGTATATTTTAATTAAACTAATATCTCTAAAATCTTTTATTTTAAAAATTAATATTATTTAAAAAAATTTAAATATAATAAAATTTTATACAATCAATTAGTTTATATCATAAACTGATTTATTTTTATTTTTAATTATTTAATAGGAGGAAGACATTATATTTTTTTGTTATATATTTATATTAATATATTTAAAGATTTATATTTTACACATAAATGAATTAGTTTTCTTATTAATTCAATCGAATATATATATATTTATATACTAAATAAATATATTTTATAATTTACAATTAATGCTAACCAACTAATTAATTAATAATCTAATTCTTTAAAAATTAAAAAAAATTGCTGCTCAAGTAAAAATTAGATTTAACTTAATAAAAAAATTATATTATTATATATTAAATAGTAGAATTAACTAATAATAAAATATATTGAAATATACATATAAAAACTGAATAAATATTATATCAAAATGTATTTTTTATAAATATATAGAATTATTTATATTCTTTTTATCTTTTTTGTTGGTAAATATATATATACATTCCTTAAAATAAATACAAAAATATATAAAAAGCATTACTATAAATTATTATATATATGTAAAAAATAAAATTAATTCAATTCTAATCATAAATTTTTTTAAAAGGATATAATTACATCATAACTTTTCCTTATATTAAGCATTCCGGAAGAGGTCCATGATCTCTTGAATCAAAAGAATTATTTTTATTATCACCTTCTACCCAAACATGATTCGGCGGAATTTTAATTCCATAAACATATTCTCCTTCTGTATAAATAACTCTTTTACAAATATCTATTTCTGGCTTAACAGGTGATTATGAGACTACAACATCACCTTTTTATACCCTCTTTCCTAATAATTTATATGAGAATTTATTTATTAATAATGATGAACAATCACCTATAGTTGGTTCCATTGATTATCCATCGGATTTCGTTACAACTAATATGTTTTCAGTTACAAAATAATAAAACGCTATTGCGGGTATTACCATTAATGTGTCCATATTTTTTCTTATAAAATTCATTTTTTATTTTAGGTTGTATTTTTTTAGACTTTTTATATATATATATATATATATATATATATATATATATATATATATATATATATATTTATTTTTTAATAAAATTAAATAAATTTTTTGTATACACAAAAATTAAGTAAATATGTATATCAAATAAATTTAATAAAATTAATTTTTATTTTTTATTACTTTTTTTTTTTCAGAATCAATTATTGTATTATTTATTAGTCGGATATTTATTTATTTTTTTGGATTTTTTAGTACTTTTAGAAGATTTTATTTATTTTTAATTTATATTTTTGTATTTATTACTATCATTTTTATATTTATTAATCTAAATATACTATAAGTTTGAAACTTGTAGTTAATTTTTTATTAAAAAATGAAATTTTTAAACTTTTTAGTTAAGTTTATTGTTTATTGATTTTTTAATATAAAATAATATTTATTTTGTTATTGTTTTTATATTAATATTGAAGTTTATAAATATATAAATTAATAATTCATATACTATTTGATAAAAAGGTATTAAAAATTCGATTTAATTAATGAATTTTTGCATTAAAAAAAGCCTCATTTATTTTATAAAAAAATATATATTAATTTTTAAATTATTAAAACTTTTTTTTTTAATAATTAAATATATATATATATTATATATAAAATAAAACATTAAAAAAAAAAAATTTTGAAAATATTATATCATTTAATTTTAATTTAATATTTATTATTATTAATTTATGTTTTTAAAAAATTATAATTATATTCTTACTTTATTTTATATAATTTATATATTATATAAAATAAATAAATTAAAATTAGAATACTTGTATTTAATTTTATATATGATCTATTAAATAATTTTTTTTTTTGATTTTTGTATTTAAATTATCCGATTTAATTTATTCTATTATCTTGCTTTATTCAAAATATTGATAATTCAGAATATTTTAGGCTTTTTTATTATCATTTATATAATTTTCAAAACTGATGTATAATTTTATTTAAATTTTTGATAAAAATATATCTAAAATATTAGGATTATATTAATTTTATTTATATATAAAATAATTGAAAATATAAATACGTATATTTGTAGTATATATATAAAAAAATTTGTAATTATTTAAAAAATATTTTATAATAAATTTTTATTTTTATAAAAAATATAAATAGAAATATAAATACGTAATTTATTTAAATAATTTATTGAAAAATTAGCAAATTATTTAAAATAAATATTTATATGTAAAAATTTTTTTATAATGAATAAATTAACAAATCATATAAAATTAACTAAAATAAATAATATATATGTTATAATTTTTATTGCTTTTAAATAAAATTCATAATATATAATTCTTAAAATATTTTTTTTTTATTACATATAAACGATATAATATTTTTATTGCTTGTTTTAAAAATTTTAAAAAATTATTAAAAAAAAAAAATTTAATAATAAAAATATTTTATATAGAAATAAATTATATAAATTTATATAAATATATATAAATATATATATATTTATATATATATATATATACACATATATATATATATTAATAAATAAGAAATCATCCGTTTATTATATTTTATTCATGTTCATAAAAATATTATTCTATTTCAAATTTTCCTTCTTTTTCACTAATCACTACAATTCCTATATATATCATACTTTTATAATAAAGATAAAAGAATTTTAATTTCCAATTTTATGTTTTTTAATTTTTGTAAGCTTCTGTTATTTCAGTTACATAAATATATTAATATTATAGTTCTTCCTTTATATAGATATAAGGTTCATGAATTGGCGAAGATTCATTTATTTAATAATCCATATTATAGAATTCTTAGACCCAATCCTAATCATATTATTATATATCTTATAGATTTTTATTTTATTTTGATTATTTATCACAAAAAGTAAGTAAAAAGAATGTAATAAATATTAATATTATTAATTTATTTAGCATTTTTATTTTATTATTTATGAATTAAATATATTGTATAATATAAATAGAAATATATAACTACATTTTATAATATCTATGTATCTTTTTAATTAATTTAAATTGAATAATTTTTTTATTTTTTGTTGTTAATTAATTTAATTTTTATAATAAAATAATATTGAAACAATTTATTATATTTTTTTTATATAAAAAAATTAAAAAATATATTCTATTTATTAATAAACTTATTTATTTCTTTAAAAATATTTTTAAATTGCTTTTTTATAATAATAATAAAAAAAAAAAATATTTATAAAAATCAAAATTCTAATAAATATAAAAACTATCATTAATAAAATAAAATAGATAATATGAGTTTATTTACTTTTGTTTTAAGTATAATTAAAAAAAAAATCAAAGCATTTAATTCAAATTTTAAGTTAAAAATATATTATTTGCACTATATGCGGTTCTATTTTATTCTTAAACTTCTTTTTTAGTTACATTAAGTGAGTTATGTATACTAGAATTTAAACCCATTTCTTTTTTGATAAATTATTTGAATTAAATTTTTTCTTACAAATATTATTCGCATTTCTTTTCTTCTTATTATAAATTTGAAATATAAACTTATGCCACTGACAATATTTACTCCGAATCTTCAATTTTGATTTTGTTTTCTTATTTAATTTTTTAAATTTCGATTCTAATTATGAATTAGTACTTTAAGCTTTGAAAAATCTTTGGAAATTTTAACTTTTTATTTCTTGCTTTAATTCAATTCAGTTTAGTTTTTCTTTCTTTCTTTTATTTAATACTCATTTTCCTCGCTTATTTTTTTTAATTCAAGCTTTTCTAATTATTTCTCTTATAAAATTTCTCGTTAAAGTGATTCTATATATTCTCTTTATTTATATCTTAAATTTTTAATGCTTTCGTTTTTTTCTTTTATTTCATTTTCTTTTTCTTGTTTTATAAAGAAATACTTTTCATAAAAATTTTATTTATTTTTTTAAAATAAATATATATATATATAAAATAAGTTATAATTTTATTTTATTTTATTTTTTTAAAAAAGTAATGTGTCTTTATTTTAATATAAATATAAAAAAAATACCTCCTAATTTTATTATCTGATTTCTTATGCTTTGACCCTTACTTTTTCTAATTTACTTTTTAAAGTCTTTGCTTAAGCTTCTTCTATTTATGCTTTAAATTTTTTATTTTATATTTTTTTTGATATAAATTCTAGTTCCTTTTTTGATAATTTCTCTGCTCTTAAACATACCCACTTAGAGTCTTTTTGTAACTGAGCAATTTATGTTAATAATTCTGATTTTTGCTCATTTTATGGAGGCATATATGGGATTCGGGCATTTTGTAAAATTTAATTAGTTTTATCTGGAGATGTAACATCCCAGCCTTTTTTTTTATTTCTAGAAGCAAATTTAGTATATAATTCTACCAAAACTTACATGTCATTTTTATTTCTTGATTTTGAAATTTTCGGCAGTAAGTCTTTTGTAAGTGATATAGATTTAATCATTTTTTATTTTGAAAATTTAATTTTTTATTTATTGGTTTTATTTTTATTATATATATATATATTTTTTTTATTTTTTTTTTCAAAGTTAAAACTAAAATATTTTTGTTTTTTTATTTTAAATTAATATATAATAAAACTTAATGTTATTTTAATAATTTTTTTATTTAAAATTAGATAATATAATGAATTTATATTAAAATATGGGCTTTGTTATCTTATATTTTGAGTAATATATTGCGCATATTATATTTAAATTGATATTTATTTTATTAGTATATAAATCTAATATAATTAGATTTTATTTTTAATATGTCAAATGTTTAATAATAAAAAAAATTAATATAAAAATTATAATATTCTAAAAAAAAAAATATATCAAAAATACAATAAATAAAAATTATATAAGAATTTTTAATAAAACTAATTGTTGATTTTTTATTTTTAATTATAAATAAAATATATTATAAGAAAATATATTTTTTATATTCATTAGATTAAATTAAAGTTCTAATTATATCAATAACTCTCAAATATATCTTTTATAAATAAACATTAATTTAGATTATTTATTTTATATGTAATAATTTTTTTTTTTTTTAATAATAAATAATATATATATATATAATTCTTTATAACTTACTGATTATAATTTTATAAATTGATCTTTAAGTTTAAACAAATTTTATTTTTAGAAATTATAATTTTTTATAGTAATTGTAAAAAAATTATTAATAATTTATATTAAAATTATAAAATAAATCTAAATATATTAATTAAAATTTTAAATTATTTTAAAACACGCATAACAACAAAAATCAATCTAATAAGCAATATTTATTAAAAAATGGGTAATTTATGTATCTCCTTTAAAAAAAATAACATCAAATAAGAAATGTCCGTATAAAATTCCGTAAATATACTCCAAAAAAAAATAACTGATAATAATAATATATTTATATTAACCTGTCATTTTAATCCAAGTAAATTTAAAACCAGAAAGCATCTATCTTAGTAATTTATAGACTAGTTTACCAAAAAAAATACTTCTTTTATTATATATATGGTTGAATGTGCATACTAAAACTCTCCTTTTGAGCTTTAATCGAATTCTGAAAATGTAAAAATTATATAAGTACGTACAAACAGTATAATGTGGATAAAAGAAAATTTATTGAATATAGCCTTAAAAAGTCTTCCTGAAAATTCCAAATATATCGCCTGGTGTGATGCCGATATTTTTCTTACAGAATCTATTGAAAATGCCAGTAATAAAATACTATAAACACTTCAGAAATATCTAGTGGCTCAAATTTTTGAATATGCCATAGATTTGCACCCTGACGGTATAAATAAGGTAGCTGAACACGAAAGTTTTGGATCTTTTGTGGCAAAAGGAAAAGAAATTAACCGAAGTAAGTATTAAACTTCATACCCACATCCAGGATATGGATGGGTAGCACATAAAAGCCTAATTTTATAAATCGGGGGGTTTTTTGAGTAGAATATAGTAGGTAATGGGGACTAACATATGGCCTTTTCATTTATTAACAGATACTTAGAAAGCTTTCCTGTAGACAATAAATACTAATAATTAAAAAAGATGGTGTAAGAATGGTAATATAAAGCTTTTTAATTGACTAAAGGAAATATTAGTTTTGTTAATTTAGTTATAAATCATGGATGGCATGGAAATAAAGTGAATAGAGGGTATATGAATAGATGGAATATTTTAGAAGAAAATAGATTTGATCTTTTTTAGGATGTTTTTAAGAATTAATATGGGGTTTTCGAATTTACGGAAAAAGGAAAAAGAATTTTGCCGATGATTTAAGATTATTTTAACTAAAGGAATGAAGATGAATAATGTATTTTTTTTCCCTTATTATATAAAAATAAATAAATAAATAATTAGTTGTTTTACCTTGTAATTATCCGAAGGTTAATAAAGGAAATAATTAATCATAATAGATTGATTAAAATAATATATAATTATAAAAAGTTGTTTAAAATAACAATAATGTTAAACAATAATAATAATAAGTATAAAATAATATCGATAAGAAAAAATTGTAAACTAATTATATTAATTAAGAATTAAACAAAAAAACTAAAGATTAGAAAAAAAAAAATAAAAAAAAATTAAGTGGTATAAGTTTTGATGATTGTGATGTTTATTAAAATAATGATAATTATTATTAAAATAATAGTAGTGGAAATAAAAGATCTCGCTGTTAAGATTATGATGATAACTAAAGTTCACACGGTAATTGTCATCATCATGGAGATAATCATTACCATGGAAATTATGATAATAATGATAATTGTGCAAATAATCACTAAAACAATGATAACTGTGTAAATAATCACCAAAACAATGATAATTGTGGAAAAGATCACCATAACTAAGGTAATAATCATCATAATAACAATGGAGGAGATCATCATCATAATAACAATGGAGGAGATTATCATCATAATAATACCAACGGAGTAAATCATCATTATTAGGATAATAATTGTGAAAATCACTATCATAATGATAATAATGATAATTAGGGAAATAATCATAATAATGATGGAGGAGCAATTGAATATAATAATAATGATTAATATAATCATGGAGATGTACCATTTTATTGAATAAAATTATATATTTAAATATAAAAAATAAATAAATTCAATAATTATAAAATCCTCTTCCAGTTTTCTTTCCTAAATATCCCGCATTTACATAATTTACTAAAAGTGGGCATGGTCTATATTTAGAATCTCCCAATTCACTATGTAAAACTTTCATAATAGATAAACATCTTAAAAAAAAAAAAAAAGTATATATATATAAATATTGTAAATAAAGTTTTTTTTACGTATCTAATCCGATAAAATCGGCTAATGTAAGAGGCCCCATAGGTACATTTGTACCAAGTTTCATAGTTTAATCAATATCTTAGACAGTAGCTACACCTTCATATAGTGCATATATTGCTTCATTTATATAAGGCATCAATAATCTATTTGCAATAAAACCAGGATAATCTTTTGCTTAAACTGTTGTTTTTTCCATTCTTTTGGCTAAACTTTTTTATTTGTTATTTTAATACATAATAAATTTATAAAGTTTACTCTAAGGTTATATTTAATGTTTCTTCTGATGTTTATAAACCTCTTATTACTTCAATTAATTTCATAACAGGAACTGGGTTCATAAAATGCATTCCAATAACCTTTTCAGGTCTACTAGTTGTGGAGGCAATTTTAGTTAAAGAAATAGAAGAAGTATTTGATGCTATTATAGTGTTTTTAGGTAAAATTTTATCCAAAGTAGAAAATATTTTTTACTTTATTAAAAAGTCCTCACTTACAGCTTCAATTACAAAATCAGTTTCATGTAATTCTTCAAGTTATGTAGAATATGAAAATCTTGATAAAATATCGAATTTTTATTCAGAAGTTAACCTTTTTTTACCTATTTCTTTATCACACCAATCCTCTGTGAATTTACGACTTTTTTGTAAAGAAGCTAAATTGTTGTCAATTATTTTTACTTATAATTAAGAAACACGGTTACCAACTATTGCTATTCCGGTTCCCATTTAACCACTGCCGATTACACCAATTTTTTTTATCTAAATTAAAAAAAATAAAGAAGAATAAATAAATATGTAAATATGTAAATATATAATAAATAATATAAAAAATATAAATAATAATATATATATATATATTATATAATTATATATATTTTTATAATAATTACATGTTATGAAGAAAATTACTTTATAATTTTATTAATCATTTTTTTTTACAATTTTTTTTTTATTTATCTTAATATTTCGTTATATATATCTTTTTTATAATTTTTTAATCATGAAATAATAAAAATTTATAAATATATTAACTTGAATATATAATTTTATAATTATAAAATTCTTTTTAAACATTTACAATATTTATTATATTTTTGTAAATAAAATTAAATAAATTTCTAATATAAATAAAAGTTATTAAAATTTTTTTTTTTTTTATAATAAAAAATAAAAAAGCTACAATTTTTATTTATTATTATTTGTATTGGTAACATAAAAAAAAAAAACAACACAAATTACATATTTTATATTAAATAAATAAAAATCATCACAAGTTAACATTTTTAACAATACTTTCGACTTCTTCTTCAGAAATTTGATAAAATTCATTATATTTCTAAACGAAAAGTTCTATATTTTTTGATCCACTTTCGACTACGTCAAGTAAAGCTTTACAAGCCAATTTTAAGCATTCATCAGTATTCATTTAATCATTTAAATAATTTTTTTCTAAAAACTCTATTACACTACTTCTTGATCTTCCCAAAGCATCAGCTTTCCATTCAGTACAAGCCCCACTAGGGTCAGTTTAATATAAACGAGGCTAATTTTTGCTATCAAAACCTCCCACAAGAGTTGATATACCGAAAGGTCTAGCACCACCTTTTTAAGTATATTTTTGCTATACACCTGCTATATATCTCGAAATGTAATTAATTGGTACTCTATCATCATAATTAAGTCTATAACTTTGACATTCAACCTTTGCTATATTAGATAATATTCTAGCATCTGCTGTTAAACCAGAGAAAGCTATGCATGTACTCTCGTCTAATCTAAGTACTTTTCTAATTGTACGAGGTTCTTGTAAAGCGGTTGTAGATTTTTTCTCTACTCCGATTACTATACAGTCTTTTCCACGAACTCCTACAGATGTTTAACCTTGCTTTACGGCGTTCATTGCATATTCGACTTAAAATAAGTTTCCTCCAGGACCAAATACTGTAATTGCGGTATCGTATGACATTTTATTTATATATATATATATATTTTTTTTTATTTTTTTTATTTATATTTATTTTTTTAAATATTTTTTTTTTAGATCAGAAAAACTAATTTAATTAAAAATCTTTTTTTTTTCATTTTAAGGTTTATATGATTAATATTTTTGTTAAATCTTTTTTTTATATATAAAGAGAATATATATATATTTGATTATTTTAAATAGATTGATTGTTATATATTTCTAATATTTTATAAATTTATTATTGAAGGAATTTCACAAAAAATTAATTAATATTTTTTTAAAAATACTTATATATAATTTTGCTTATAATAAAAATTTAATTATTTTAATTTTTTTAATATAAATTTTCCTACTTTTTATCAGATAATTTAAGCTGTATTTTCTTCTTGATTTTTTTGTATTTTTTTATTCTTTAAAAAATTAAATTAAAATTTTATTATTATTTATTTTTTTTAATAAAAATTTAATATAAATGTTCTTTATTTTCTAAAAAAGAGTTATTTTCTAGAATTATTCTTCAGTTTATTTTTCTTTTATTTAAAAAATTAGGTTAAGTTTAATAATTTTCCTTTTATTTTTTTTCTATTATACCTTTATTATATAACTCTAAAGATTTTAGAAAGTTTTTGTATCCCTTTTTTAATACATTTATTAATTAATTTAGAAAAATTATTTTTTTTTTTTTTAGAATAATTAATGTTTTTTTTTTTAGAATAGTTAATGTTTTTTTTTATAGAAAAATTAATGTTTTTTTTTTATAGAAATTATACATCTTTTTTTTATTTATTCTTCCGCTTTTTTTTTTATAATGTATGTTTAGTTTTAATATTGTTTTATTTATTTTTTTCGATTGATTTTTTAAAATGCATTTTTAAGTTGTTTTTCAGCTAATAATAATTCATTTAAAGTATTCTAATAAATAAATAATTTTAATTCGAAATAGTATATTAATTATTACTTTAAAATCTCTAATTATATATAGTGGCAAATTAATGAGATTCTTTTGCTTAATAAATTATCAATTTCTAGTAATTAAAAGTCTTTATTTTCTTAATTTATTTATATTAAAGACTAAAGAATATCATAATTAGGAAATAAAGCTTATTAGATATATTTCTTAATTTTAAATATATTTAAATAATAAATAAAAAGATTAATTAATTCTTTGATTGTTGTATTTATATGCCTTTATGTGATTATTTTTCATTCCATTTGAAAATATAATTTAATTTTTTATCATATTAAATAATAAAAATTAAAAATTAACATTTATTTTTTGTAAATCAAATTTAATATAAAATTATAAAAATGAAAAAAAAAATATGATAAATAAATAAAAAAACAAAACTTATTAATATATAAAATATAAAATCATTTTTAAAATTTTAGTAATTTTATAATATAAATATTAATTTAATAAATTAAAACTAATTCTGCGTAAATAATAATTAATATTTGTATATATGTTAAAATTAAAATTATTATATATTTAATATGCTTATATTTATGTATATTAAAAAATTTTCTTATACATATATAAAATAAAAGATTATTAAATATTTATTTTTAGTAAAATATAATTTGCTGTAAGTATGTTAATTCAATATAAATATCTTTTTATTTTATAAAATAACAAACATTTTATATTTCTTTTATATTACTAGATAATATATATTATTTTAAATTCTAAAGTATATTAATTGTATTATTTTAATGATATATTTAATATTTTCGTATTTTTTATAAATATTTAAGGTTTTAATTTTATTCTGTTTTTTTTATTATTTTTAATTATCTCTTAATCTACTAATATTATTTAAATAAAATTATTAAAATATCTAAGTTTTTTTACAATTTACATAATTTATAATTTATTTAATAAATATATATGTTATTTTTTTAAAAAAATAAAAAGTAAAATAATAAAATATATTTAATTTTTTTATTTAAATTATTAATAATTCATTTAAAAAAACAATAATTATTGTTTTTTTTTTTAAAAAAAAAATAAAATAAAAAAATTTCAAAAAATGGGAAATTAAAACTGTGAAATATAAAAATATACTGATGTTTTTTTAGTAAATCTAAATAATTTTATTTAATTAAATGATGAAACTTAATTAAGTATATTCGGTAAATGCAAAATATATTAAAGAAAAAACAATCCAAGCGAGCAAGTAATATGTAAAAAGATCCAAATTTCAAAGGAAGACGTTTAAAATAATCTACAATAGTATTTTGAGTAAAGAATGTGTATATAACATCCAAATTTATTGAAGTTTTTTGGCTATTCCTTATCTAAATAAAACTATTTTTGTTCTTCGATTTGTTTTTTTAATGTTTATTTTGAATATCATCGGATTTCACTTGAAAAAGAAAATAATAATAGAAAAAAAAATGAAGTAAAATACTAATTATAATATTTTTTTTTGTTTAAAATAAAATAAAATATCTTTTTAGGAAATTTATAAATTAAATGAATTGTTATATATAATAAAAAGTATATCAAATATATGTATATATTTCTAATAAGTAAATAAAAATTATCCAAATATACACCCATAGTCACTTATTCTTAACGGAAATGGATAAATAAAAATTGTAGATGAATATATTTTAAACTTAAATAATTTACAAGATTAAAAAATATTTTTACATTAAAAAGATATTCAGTTCCTGAATAAAATAATGAAAATATTTAAAAAATAGCCATTTTTTAATTAGGAATGACTATGTTAGAAACTACATTAATTTAAGATTGTAGTAATATACAGAGAGAAGATCATTTTGTAAATGAAAATATACTAGATTTATATATTAATTAAATATAAAATATTTATGGGGAAGATTATGCAAATATAATTAAAAAAATGTTAGATTTAAATTCGGAAAAAAGTGCAGATTTTTAAGAAATTTTAGATTATTAAATTTAATTTTTTGATAATATAATATAGTAATAATAATAATAATAAAATAATTCAAAAATAAATTCAAGTTAAAACATAAATTAAATAAGTAAGAAAATTCTTGATCAAAAGTAAAAATATGTAGAAATGAGAGACAATTAAAATAATAATAATGAATAAATATAATTTTCTGAAAATTCTAGTCCAAATAAATAAAAAAAAGAATAAATAAATAAATAATATTAATGAAAATAAAATAAAAAGAACTAAAGAAAATAATAATAATAATAATAATAATAATAATAATAATAATAATGATAATAATGATAATAATGATAATAATAATTTTAATGATAATAATAATTTTAATGACAATAATAATTTTAATGACAATAATAATTTTAATGATAAATAAATTTAAAATGTTTTATCATAAAATAAATAATATTAATACTAAAAAGAGAATATATATTTTAAAACTTTTGGTGACTTTTATGAAAATGTAAGCTTAAATTATCGGTCAGAATAAAATGTTTTCAAAAACATAAGAAAATAATAAATAAATATTCCTTTAAATAATTAAAATGATTTACCGAAAGTAAAAGTTATTAAAAAAAATTTCTATTCACCTTTTTAAATGATAAGAAAAATTAATTCTTCTTCAAGTAATTAATAAGAAACATTATAAAATTAAAATACTGATATTAATTAAATATCAAATATTTTAAATAACTATATTAAAAAAAAATGAATTTTAATTTAATTTTTTTAATAAATTTAAATATATTAATATGAAAAAAAATTAAAATTAAAAAAAATAAAAATTGAAATTAATATAATTGAATTTTATAAAACAAAATTAATATTAATTAAATTAAATAAAATTAAAATATATAAAAATAAATTAAAAGTAAATTATTATAAAGACAATTAATATTAAAATAAATTTTATTAAATTTATTATAAAAATAAAATTTATTATAAAATAATAAAAATATTAAGTAATAAATATATAAAAATTTAAATATTTATATAAGATAAAAAAAAAATCTAGTAAATTAAATTAAAAATATATAAATTGTATATATATATATATATATATATATTTATTAATTTAGATATATCTATATTTTAATTTATTATTTTTTTATTATTATTTATTTATAAAACTATTTTCTTTATTTTTTATATTTATTATTTTTAACAAATAAATCAAATTAAAATTATAAGTTTATAAGTATTATATTCTATATATTTTTATATAACCACTATTTTTATTTTGCTTGTTTTACATTGCCATATAGATTACAACTTTTTTTTTCTTTTATTTAAATGAAATTATTTACTTTTAATATTTTTTATTAAATATCTAAAATATTATATATATTCTTAACTTTTTTATATTATTTATATCAAAATTCTATCCTAATTTATTTTTTAGTTTATAAATAAAAATTAATTATTCCTTCAACTAATTATTCATAAAGTCCAAATATCGATTTTATAATTTTATTTTTTATTATTAATTTTTTCTGGATTCATATAATCTAAATTCCTTTAATGGTTTATCTTAATTCTCTTTCAAAAATGACAATAAAAAATTTATAATTTATATGAGTTTTATTTTGTGTTATAAAATCTCAATGTATATTTTTTTATTTTTAGATATTATAATGCTAACTCTATTTAATGTATAAAATATTAAACTTTATCTTGATTTAAAGATTATAATATTATTTTGCTTAATATTACTGAAATTCTCCATCACAAGCATATTTTATTATTAAATAATTTTTTATTAAATCTTCATAAAAACACTATAATTATATTATATTTTAATATTTACATTAATATCGTGCTTTTATTTTATTTAGAGTGTTATTTTTCAATTTAATTACTAATTATTTATTATTATTTTCTTTAATAAAAAATAATAATTTTACTTTTTAATTTTTTTATTATTTTGTAATATATTTATCCATAATTCTAAAAAAAAAATTATATTTAATTTTTTTAAATGTTTCGATTAAATTTAGTTTTTTATTTAATATAATATTCTATTAGTTATAAAAACTTCTTTAATTATATATATATATATATATATATATATATATATATATATATATATATATATATATATATATATATATATATTTTTTGAAGATTATTATAATATATATTGAAATCTTTTATAATATATATTACTATTACTTTTTCTAAAAAGTTGATTTTATTAAGTTAATTTATATTATTTTATTAATATTCATTGATTTTTTATAAGCATTTTAGTCATTTTTATTATATAAGATATTTATCTTTTAATACAAAAATAAATTTGGATTTGAAAAATATGAATATATTTGCTAAATTTTCTAACTTAATAATAAGTGTTTCAATTTATAGTTAATCAGAAATTAAAATTTATTTATATTTATTATATTTAATGTACTTTTTATTTTATAATCCTGAATTAAAAGTTATTTTTATAAATTATGATAATTTATATATAAAATAAATTAAATAAATAAATAATTAATATTTTTTTACAAAAAAGAATTATATAGATTTGCTATAAATTTGTTATATTAATTATTAATTAATTGAATATGTTTTATTGTATTTATATTTATATTTAAAATATGTAATATTTTTATAATGTGTTGATAATAATTTAATATTAGTTTTGTTATTTGTTTATATTTATTTATTAATTATTAATGCATATGTAATCATTTAATTTATATTTATTATTATATATTTTATATTTAATTAATTAGTATGATATGTTAAATTAATATAAAGCTATATACATCAAAATATTATTAAAATACAAACAAAATAAATTAAAAAATATATAATTATTATTTAATAAATTTTTAAAGCAATATATCTTTTAAAATAAATATATTTTAAAAAGATATAAAATATTATTTATAATAATTTTATATATGCATGTATTTAAATAAAAAAAGGAAAATGAATATAAGAATTTTAATAATATTATATTTTAAAAAAATACATAATAATAAATAAAGATAATTTATATTAAAAAAAAAAAAATATTATTATTAATATTGTAAAAATACATTATTAATACTATTTTTATATATATATATATATATAATTTTTTATTATTATTATAATTATTCATTTAATATATTATTTAATATTATATGTTCATATTTTTTTTTATAAATGAAAATATAAATAAATAATTAATAGAAAAAAAATTTATTTATAAATTAATTATTATTATTGTTATATATATTTTATTTAGAAAATTATGATTATTTATTAGTAAAATATTGATAAATTTATATATATATATGATAAAATTAGTAAAAAAATATTAATTTATTATATTGTTATTAAAAATAAAAAAAATATATATTTATAATATATTTTTTTTTTTTATTATCAATTAAAAGTAAAATATAAAAAATAATTTTTTTAAATTATTCATAGATAATTTTTAAATTAACCTTGAAATATTTAAGATTATAACAAAAATATAAATTCATTTTTAAAACTATACTATTATTTTATTTATTTATATATAATGAAAAAAAAAAAACATTTTTAAATAATATAATACTAAAAAATAGATATCTTAATTAATTTATATATATATATATATATATATACTTAAATTTTTTATTATATATAAAAAAATAAAATTTTTATATATTTTAATGCATATTTTTTATAATTATAATGCTAAAAAACTGATTTTATATGTTCATAATATATTTTTAGTATTAAAATAATGTTTATAATATTGCTATTTTAATTATATTCTGTTTAATATATTTTTATATCATTATATTTCTATTTAGCTAACCAAAAACAAAAAAAATTAATGATAAATATTAATTGAACTTTAAAAAATTAATTATGTTTTCAAAGATAAAATTATATAATAAAAAATAAAAAAATCATAGGAAAAATAAATTAATAGTGATATTATTCTATAACTAAAAAAATAAAAATTAACAAATAATTAAAAAAAAAATGACTGATTTCAGAAAAGAGCTTGCCTAAAACGCCAATAAATTAGCTACTCCTGGTAAAGGAATCTTAGCTGCCGATGAATCAACTGGAACAATTGGAAAAAAATTCACATCAGTAGGAATCGATAACACTGAAAGCAATCGTTAAGCTTACAGAGATTTAATGTTCCACACTCCCGGTCTTGAATAACATATTTCTGGAGTAATTTTATATTCCGAAACTGCTAAACAAAACGATTTATCAGGAAAAAAATTTGTCTAAGTTTTAAAAGAAAAAGACATTTTATGTGGAATTAAAGTTGACTAAGGATTAAAAAACATTCCTGGAACAAAAGACGAAACTGCAACTCATGGTTTAGATACATTAGATGCTATGGCCAAGGAATTCTATTAAATCGGCTGCAGATTTGCTAAATGGAGAGCCGTATTGAAAATCTCTGCCGATGGATGCCCTACTGATTAAGCTATTTAAGAAAATGCTTGGGGTTTGGCTAGATATGGGGCTATTTGTTAGGCTAATGGACTCGTACCTATTATTGAACCTGAAATTTTAAGTGATGGAGATCACTCAATTGAAACTTGCTAAAAAGTCAGTGAAAGAGTACTTGCAGCAGTAGTTAAGGCTTTATAAGAAAATAATATCTTCTGGGAAGGTTGCTTACTTAAACCTAATATGGTTACTTAAGGAAGTAATCACCCAGTTAAAGCTAGTCCAGCGGAAGTTGCTTTTAGAACTGTTACTGCACTTTCAAGAACAATTCCTCCAGCTTTAGTTGGTGTCTTTGTACAATAGTTTTTAAGTTTGTTTATTTATTTATTTATTTTTTAAAAAAAAGTTCTTGAGCGGTGGATAATCTGAAGAAGATGCTTCTTTAAATTTAAATGCTATGAATAAATTATAAGGTGTAAGAAGACCTTGGTTCTTAACATTCTCTTATGGAAGAGCTTTGTAAAATAGTTGTGTTAAAGCTTGGGCTGGAAAATAAGAAAATGTAAAGAGTGCTTAATAAGCACTTTTGTAAAGATGTAAAGCTAATAGTGAAGCATAATTGGGTAATTTATAAAAATATATATCATATTTTATTTATTCTATAAAGGTAAATACGAAGGATCAAAGGATGGAGCTGGATAAGAATCTTTATTCGTTCATGATTATAAATATTGATATAAAAAATTATTTGAAAATAATTTTTTTATTTTTTATAATTTTTATTTAAGTTTTTTTAAAAAAATTGAAATTGAATAAAAATTATGTTTTACTTTACTTTTTTTATAAAAAATTAGAAATTAATTAATATATAAAAATATAAACTTATAAATATAAAAATAAATAAATATATATATATATATATATATATATAAATTATAAATATAAAAATAAATAAATATATATATATATATATATACTTTTATATTTTATATTTTTATATATATAAAATTGCAAAAATATAAACATTTTCATATATTGTTTACATTTAAGTTCTTTATATTATAATAGTATAATAAAATCCAAATAAACAAATTTTTTATTTAATTATAATATTTTTTTATTATATATATAGAATAATAATATTTATTTTGTATATTATATTATGTCCATTTTTATAATTACATTTTTTATCTTTTATATTTTATATATTAAAAATAATTAAATATTAATTTAAAAATAATTATTAATAATTTTTTATTTAATTAAAAAATGAACAATAAAAGATTAGATGATATTAATAATATGAATTATGCTTTTTATGATTTTTTAAATAGCTATTCTTATTTAAATAATAATTAACAATAGGTTTTTATGAATATCTATAATTTATGTCAATAAAATGAGTACTTTATAGAAAATATTAAATCAAAATGTATTAAATAAGATGAATTAATAAATAGTATCTAGGATGAAATTAACTCTTTAAAAAGAAATTTAGTTACTAGTGAAAGTGTACATCATTTTGATATTTATTTTTAAATTTTTTAAAAACCTTAAGATGAATATTAATATTAACTTGTATTAGTTAATTAACTAAATTAATTTCTTTATAGAGAGAGAAATTTCAAGTAAAAATATATTTCATATAAAACTATATTTTCAATTTTTTAAATTATTAAAAATAATTATTTTAAATTGTAAATAATGTAAGTATTAATTTTTTTTATATAGTATTCAAATATAAATAGAAGATAAATGTGGGCAATTAGTTGAAAATAAAAATAAAATTACTTTATAAATGTAAATATACACATCTGAAAATCCTCCTTAATTAATAAAATATAATAATTCTGGTATATATTAATAATAATATTAATATATTTATATATTTTAAAAAAATAGGGGAACCTATATTAAAAGGAATAGTTGAAAAAAATATTATTACCGGATAAGTTATGTTTAATAAAATATAAATAAAAGAAGTTACTTCACATTATTAAAATGGATGGGTTTATATAGTCGTCTTTCCAAAAAAAGAAAATGAAATTGATTTGTAAAATTAAGACGAGTAATTTATTAATTTTAATTTAATTAAACCCTTGGTTGTGTAAAATATTATAGTAAAAGCTAAAAAAATTAAATAATAATAAAAGTAGATTAAAAAAGAAGTATGATTACATATATATATATATATATAAATATTAAAAAAAATATCCATTTACATATGCTTTAAAATTTTTTGTAATTTTATATATTATTAATTTTTTTATTAAAATATTTAAAATTAATTTGATACTTTTTATATTATAAAAATAAATTATTATATAAATTAGATTTATATGATATAATAAAAATATATATTTAAAAAGTTATATATTATAAGAAATTACTATATTTATATAATAATCTTAATTTTTTATTTAATCATTAAAAATATAAAAAAAAATGGGAAACGATTCTTAAAAACCAATTTAATAACCCAAACCTGCTGATCCTATAGAAATATAAATAGATTTAAAAATGGCTTAAAAATAATTTGAACGTGAATCAAAGAAAGCAGAAAAAGAATAAATTTAAATTATGGAAAAAGCTAGATAAGTAATTTATTTAATATAAACAAATGAAAATAATATTAATTTTTTTAATATATATTAATAAAAGGCAGTTTAAAAGGGAAACGAAGAAGGAGCTAAGTGAAAAAAACATTAATTATTATCTTGTTTTTTTAAAAAAATAAAAAAAATAAAAGATTATATTTATAAAATGCAATGGCTAAATAAAAATTCAGCTAAAATATGTTAAAAATGTCTCATAAAATAGATGCTATATCCGCTCAAATTAAAATGAATTAAGGAAATGCTTAAGTATATTTTATTAAAAAAAAAAAAACTAAACTTTTTCAAAAAAGTATATCTAATAATTAAATAAAATAACACCTTATTTATAACATCATTCATCAAACTTATCTCTAGAATAAATGTATGGGTAATTAAATAATTTCGAATAGGCAATGGATGAATTAACTATAGGTTAAAAAGTTATGGATAATATTATGAATAAAAATGATATTTAAAGTGATGTAGCAGTAATTTAATATATATATATATATATATATATATATATATATATATATATATATTTATATATATATATATATATATTATTTAATTAATTTTTATTTAAGATTGATAGTATGCTTTAAAATATGAAATTAGAATATGCATAAGATATAAACTAAAATTTTTAAACAAATAGTAAATATAAATTATATTATTGATATTATTTTATTTTTATAAAAAAAAAATAGAAGACATATTTAATTAATTAAATAATTAATAAATTAATGTTAATCAAAATTAATAATATCAAAATTAACAATAAATATAGTAGAATAAATAATGAAAAGAATATATAATTATATTATTATTTTATTTTTTCTGTAATTTTTTATTAAATACACAAACAACAGCAACAAAGATATGCTAATAAAATCAATATTTTTTTTAATATTAAAAAAATAATAAAAAAAAATAAAAACTGATAATAAATATATATATAAATTTTCTCATAATATCAAAATTCTTTATTTTAATTTATTTGTAATTTCTATTATAATAGCTTTTCTTATTATTTTGATCTTTTTATTCTTTGTGTTTCTTAAAATTTCTATTTAAATAAATTAAAAAAAAAAGCATTTATAAAAAATGTACTTTTTCTTTTAAAATTTTTTAAAAAGTTATTTCATCTACATAATATAATTTCCCTGTTTATTACTCTGTAACTTAGTACATTGTTTTATGTTAACCTAAATTAACTAAAGCTTAAAAAAATAAATAAAATCCAAAACTGAACATTATCAATATAAAAATCTTTTTTTAAAAAAAATTATATCTTTATTCACCAATTTAATTTATATAATCATCCTATTTTAATTATTTAAATAAATATAAAATATAAATATATATTACATATTATTTTTATCTAAGCATTTCTTAATAATATTAATTACTCCATTCTTATTCTCTTTATGATTAATAATATCTTTAATATTATTATTATTATTATTATTATTATTATTATTATTATTATTATATAATAATATCTATTGATTTTTTTAATTTTGATATTCATTTTGCTAATTATTATTTTTATTTGATAATATTTGATCATAGCATTTTCGTTTTTAATCATCTTTTAATGTCTCATATGCCTCATTTATTAATTTAAAATTTTCTTAAAATTCTTTTTATATATCAGGATGATATTTTTTTGCTAAATTAAAATATTATTTTTTAATTTACTCTTAATTGCAGTTTTATTCTAAACCTAAAATTTAATAATAATTTATGTTTTAATTTCGACTATTAAATTTTTTATTTAATAAAAAGAATAAAGATTTATTCTATTTTAAAAATTTCATTTTTTTTTATAAAAAATATATAAATATTAATTTTAATTTTTTATATATATATAAAGAATATTTATTTTTAAATAAATTATTATCACATATTTTTACTTTTTCAATAAAAAAGCCAAAATTTATCTTGATTTTTTATTAAAAATAAATAAAATATAACGAATTAAAAATAAAAAAATTCTAACTAATAAATAAAAAATTTTTAAAAATAGTAAGCATTATTATAATGATATTAGAGATTATAAAAGTTTCAAAATAAATATTTTATTCAAAATAAAATTAATTCTATATAATTGGAAAAAATCTAATTTTATATATTAAAATAAATATATATAAAAATTATTTTCATATAATTTACCCAAATTAAAATAAAACAGCAAGTATATTAATTTAAAAAGAGTTATGTGTTATTATTTAATTAATATGTATACATAGAAAAAAAAAAATAGGAAATACTACTAATAAAATATTCCAAATAAAATAATTAAAACAATAAAAAAAATAGAAAAAAATTCTTCTTTACAAAATAATATATATGAAATAATTTAAAAATCAAAATTTATTTAAATATTTAGGATAATATAGATTACTTTCTGCTTATTTCGAATTTTAATAAAAATAATCATAAATTTTAACATTATACTAATGTTTTCCCTGTAGATTTCTTCCTTCAATTTAATATAAATCACCATCAGTACAGTCACAAATACTATATTAAAATCTATTTTTGTGTCCATAATTGTCCAATTTTCTCGGTAAACTAATTTTATTTTGAAATTCTAATTATTTATTATCTGTGCAGATAAAAATTTTCCTATTTTTAGTATCTTTTGTTAAAGAAACAAATTTTTTCGGTTATGAAATTCTTTTTAAAAATTCCATGTTTTTTTCGTCTTTTAAGTTCATTTATTTTTAAGGAGTATTTTCAACTTTTTTTAAAAAATTTTTTTTTTTCGGCTGACTCCATTCTTTTAATTATTCGATCCTTTCTGGACTTTATAAGTAAAATGTATTATCATTTTTATCCCCTTTTTTAGTATATTAGCGAGATTTTACACGAAATAAAGAAGCACCGTATATTTTTACTTGTTAAAGTAAATTATGATTAGTTGGTTTGAAGCTAGAAGGTTGTAATGTCTTATTTAAATCTTGTTTTTGGTCTACTTTTGCAATTATTTGAGTTGTTGTGTTCATTATTTTGTTTATATCAGGGTGGAATACTCTTTTAGCTTTTTGCTTAGTGTTGTAAAGAAGGGAATAATTTATAATTTTGATTGTTTTAGAGTTTTAGTTATTTGCTTTAGGTCTTTCATTTAAATTTTAACAATTTGTAAATAAAGTTTTTTATTAGAAATCATCATTTAATATTGAATTATTAAAACTTTTATTTATCATTTATTATTTATAAGTATTTTTTTTTTATACGAATATGTATATGAATGTATATATTTATATATATATATATATATATATATATATATATTTATATATATATTTTAATCTATATTTAAATTATATTTTTTTTTATTATTATTATTATTATCTTTATAAGTTTGTTTTTTTATTTTTATAAGAAATTTTATTTTTTTGGGTTAAGCAATTTTTTTTAGATTAGTTAGTTAATTTAGTTATTAGTTATTTTTTAAACACATAAATTTTAATAATAATAATATTTTATAAATGTTAAATTCAAATATTTTTATTGTTTTATATTAATAAAAAATGAATAAATTTTATATTCAGGAATATTAATAAATGAAAATTAAAAAATAAAATAAATATCGCTTAAAAGTATCAAATAATAACAATTTTTTTATAAATAAATTAATTTTAACAAAAAATTTTTATTATAAATAATCAATCATTATAATTTTCTAAATAAATTTTATAATAAAAAAATTTATTTTTAATAATTATTTTTACAGGAATTGATTGTAAAATATCTTTTTATTCACAAAAAATAAAATAAGTTTTTTATAATTAAGAAAATTTATTAAATATAAAAATCAAAGAAATGAATATGATTTATAAATTTTACTAAATTATGCTTATTTATAAAATAAAAATATTTAAATTTTTAAAAAAATTATTTAATTTCAAGTATTAAAAAAAATATGATTATTCTTTATAAAATCAAGATTTTTCTTTTAATTATATAACTTATTTAAATCAAATTAAAAAAAAAAATATTATTTTTTTAACTTTTAAATTCTCTTTGTCTTTAAATTAAGCTTTGGAAAAAGTAACTTTTTAAATATCGAAAATTCTCCAATGTGATTAAGTAAATATATATTTAATACACAAATAAAAAAACAAGCTACTTTCTTAAAATAAAGATTAAATGAAACTTAATTTATATTAAGGCTTATTAGGTAAAATTTACAGATAATAGCCTTAATATTTAATTTATTTAAATAGATGATAGATTTAATAAACTTATTGATAAAAATTTTAATTATATTGTCAAAAATTTAATTTTAGTCTCTATTTATGTTTATGATTAATATAGAAATTCTATTTTTTGATAAGAAATAAAATTTATTAAAGAAGATGAAGATATTATTAATATTTTATCGGTTTTAACTGAATTTATACTACTTAAAATGAAAACAAATTATGATTTTAATAAAATTTAAACATTTAAATTAAAATAAGCAGTATTTGAAAGATCTCGAATAAAAATGATGCATATAAAAATAGTACTTTTTCTTAATTTGTAAAAACTGTTTAGTATTTTACAAATATTTTAGAATTAAAATTCTAATATATAATTCATATTTTTATTTTTTTAGATAGGTTTTTAGTTAAAAAATAAATTACTTACAAATATGTATTATTTTTAAAAATTATTCTTTTTTTTAATATTTTAAATTAAATAATTTATTAATTTTCTTTTTTAATGTTTCCATAAAATTTCATAATTTTTTTATTTAATTTATATCTCATTTTTTTAAAAAAATTTATACTATTTTTATTTTTTTATTAATTAAAAAATAAATTAAAAATATTTTTTTATTTTAAAATAAAATAATTATTTTTTAAACAAAAATAAAATTGAATTTTAAATGAATTAATATGGAAATCCTTAGTACTGGGAAGACAGATATTAAAGGTATTTTAAATTTTTTTAAATTTGGCATAAAATTAAAAAAAAATCAAGAGAAGCAGACCCATTTGATTGGTATTAAAGATTTAAAGGACTTAAAAATCTAATTTAATAATATATTACATCAGAAAGTGTTATATTAAATGTAGGTGCAGGAAGTTCAAGTAAAAAAGAATAGCAATTTCAATATATAATTAATATATAAAAAAAAGAATTAAGTGAAGAATTATATGATGAAGGATATTTAAATATAACAAATATAGACATTTCATAAACTGTTATAAAAAACATGTAAGAAAAATATAGTGATAGGGGGGAAACATTTAAATGTAAACAATATAAATATAACAATGTTATTCAAAAATAAAAATCAAGACATTTGCATGGATGTTAAATAAATGGAATTTTAATAAAATTCTTTTGATTTTGTGATTGATAAAGGAACATTAGATTGCATTTTATGCGGAGAAAGTTCCACAATAAATTCTTCAAAAGTTCTTTCGGAAATATATAGAGTTTTAAATAATAAAGGAGTATATTTTTTAATTTCTTATGGATTACCTGAAAATAGAAAGAATATTTTATAAAAAGTATATTTTTTTTTTTGTTACTCTTATATATATAGTATATATTTATATAATAAAGCCTGAATTTTAATGGCATGTTACAGAATATTAAATTCCTAAACCAACAAAGGCTATAACTGAAGATTCTTCAGATAAATTTCATTATGTTTATATATGTTAAAAGGTATTATTTTTTTAATAAAAAATATATATTAATTCATTTAAAATAAATTAAAGGATATAACCGAAGAAGAGCAATAAATAGATGAGGAAAAATGAAAATTTTCAATATAAATAATTATAAATTTATAAAAATAATATGTTTTTTTTATATTAGAAACATTATAAGGATATTTTTATTTTTATTTTATTACCACGTTAAACAATTTTTTATTGATATAATGTTTATATTATTTAATAACAGTTGCTATATTGTTTACATGTAACGTAAGGATAATATACGAAAACTTCTTAGATAATATTAAATTTTCATAAAAAACTTAGTATCAGCGATATTATTAGAAATTTATAAATTATTATATATATACCTTTTTTACAATTATTGTTTATTTTTTATTTATTTAATTTTCATAATAAAACTAAGATTCTACATTAATTTTAGAAAATTATGAATTATTAAATATAAATTTTTAATAATTACTATTTAAATTTTGTTTATTAAATTATTTCCAATATTTTTTTTATTATAAATATTTTTAATAAAAATAGAGTTGATTTTTATATTTATTTTCTATCATATTAATAGATTTTTCATTACATTTTGTTTTGGATTTTTTTATTCTTCAAATTATACTAAACTATTTAATTTTCATATTTTTTTTTATGTTTTATGCATCATTTGAAGTTTTTATAAAACTCAATTTTTTTTATTTAATGATTTTCTTTTTTTAATATTGTTTTAAACAATTAAAATTTATTTTTTTATGTATTTAACTAATATAGTTAATAAAAAAATATAAGTATAATATTATTTGTTCATATTGTTTTTTAGATATTTTCTTTTTAAAATTCAATTAACAAAAAAAAAATGGTAAAAATGTGTAATATTTTATTTTTATTGATTTTTGAAAGAAAAATTAAACAAATAAAAAAATTATATATATAAACAATATATTACATTATTTTATTTTAATACATATTTTTTTAATCCTTAATTTCAAATTTTTAGTTTTTTAGATGTTATTGATTAATTGTTTTTATTTTAATTTTATATTTATTTTTTATAATAAAAAAATAAATTATATTTTTTTTAAAAAAAAATAAAAAATTATAATATATTTCTAATAAAAATTTGTTTTAGACATATAAATTTTATTAATTAAATATAAATACAATATATTAGCTAAATAAAATATAAATTAAAGTTTCCTAGTAACATATTTAAAATTTTATATTATTATTTAAAGAAACTATTTATTTTCGAACTTTTAAATTAAATATAAATTATATAATTTATGAATTTTAATTTAGATTTTTTAAAATATTATATTTTGTTTAATATATCTTATAATAAATTTTTATGATTATAAAATAAATGAAAAATAATAAAAAACTTTTTAATAATTATTGTAAATAATTAAATGTATTTAATAAATAGTTATTAATTTAAATATTTAAAGAAAATACTTTTATAAACTAATAATATATATATATATATTCATATTTACTTACTTATTTTAATTAATTTCATGATATTTTTGATAACTATAATGATTGACATTTTATATTTCCAATCTTTGTTTTTAAGAGCATACCTTTATTTTTATCATATATTTAAAATTTCAACTTTAATATATATTATACCATAATAATTGGCTTCTAAGTTTTGATTAGTTTTAAGCCCTTCAAGAACACTTTCTAATACTTTTTTCTTAGGATTTAAAATTTACTGAAATTCTTAAGAAAATCCTTATTCATTGTTTTCCAAAAATATTCTTTCACCGACATTAGAATTTTCATTTGGCCTTAAAAGTTCAACTTTTGTACCTTCTTAATTTGAAGCACATAATACCATTCCGTTTGATTAAATACCTTTTGATTTAAATTATTTTATATTTCATTATTTTTTTTAAATAAAACATTATTTTTTTTTGAAATAAAACCTGCCATTTTTCGAGGCTTTAAATTTGTTAATACTATTATTAATCCTTGCATATCTTCAATTGCAATATATTTTTGTAGACCGGATACTACTAAAAGTGGCTCTTGTTATCCTACTTATATTTTTTCGCAATATAATGTTTCACTTTCTGGATGCTTTTTTATAAATATATTTTTTGGTTATTATTTTAATTGTATATAGATTATTAAACATAAACATATTCTATAATTAATATTTATATACTTTCCAACATTCTATAATTTTTCCTACTCTTATATCCAATTTATAAAAGTTGTCAATATTATTTAAATACTATTTTTAACTAAAAAAGTAAGAAAAATTTTTAAATTTATATAGTTTTGATAATTAATTTATTTTCATAATTATTTTGGTATTTTTTATTGATTAAGTTTAAAAAATAAATAACAAAAAAACCTTCTGTAAAACAATATATTAATTTTTTATATATTAATATTTCAATGTAATAAAAATTTAATAAATTTTTATATTTATATTTTTAATTAAAATTATAAAAAATAAAATCTTTTCTAAAACAATATAAAATTTTAATAATAATTATAAAATATAGTTAATACAGTATATATAATTTTTTATAAAATAATAAAATAAAAAAGAAAAAAAAGAAAAAAATGTAAAATATGTAAAGTTAATAAAAAATGTCATTTTTTAATTAGGATGAAGATAATTTAATTATGTAAGGAATATTAGATGGTAATTAAACATATAAATTTTTCAAAAATTAACTTGAAAAACAAAACTGAATTAAAAATTTTAATTATAAAAATAAAAATAAAAATGATATAAAACAAAAAAATAGATGATGACACGATATAACTAAGACACGAAAATAAATCTGCTCCACCTCTCGTATAAGGATAAAAAGATTTTCCTGATCAAGAAAAAAAATCTTTTTTTTAATAAAGCGAAAATACATTTAAACTTAAAAAAAATAATTAATAAATTAATGATTAATATAATTTCAATTAAAATAATATAATATATTAGTTTTAAGCAGGCAAAGATTAAAAACCATATTATGATACGAATAATAGTAACTAAAATTTCTATTTTATTAATTATGATGAGAGCAAATAATATTATTAGTAATTAAAAATTTTATATATATAATATATTAAATTCTTTTATATTATATAAAAAAATAAATAAAATTAGTAAAAATTTATATATTTACATTTATAAATAATTTTTTTATAATTATTATTTTTATTATATTTATTTTTGAAAATAAAATAATAAATAATCAAATAGAGAAAATTATAATTATTATTAATAATTTTTTGATAATGATTAATAATATGATTAATAATAATTATAATTAAATTTATCTCAGTTAAAGATCAAAGAAAATAACTCCAAAAATTTTAATAATTTTGATAATATGTATTTTGATTTAATAGAATCATGTAAAGACTAAAATAGTTCAAGAATGATTTAAAAATAATTTGAAAGCTCTTCTATTGAATAAAAAAATATTATTTTCTAAAAAATTTATCAAGAAGCATTAAATTTAATGAAAGATTAGTTTGGAAATTACGTTATTTAAAAGTTTTTTGAAAAAGGTTAAAAAAAGAAAAAATTATAAAAATAAATATATATATAAACAGGCAATACTGAACATAAAATATAACTATATTAGCTTTTAAAGGGGTAAGTTTTAGATTTATCTTTACATACTTATGGATGTAGAGTTATTTAGAAAGCACTAGAAGAATTAAAAGACTATCCGGAATTACAGGAAGGAATAATTTAAGAAATTAATGATAAAATAATGGTATGTATTTAAGATTAACATGGCAATCATGTTATCTAGAAATGTTTTGAAACAATTAGTTCTTCTAAGTTTTCTGGAATAATTAGAGAAGTTATTTAAAATGTATAATCTTGTTATAATATATATATATATATATATATATATATATATATATATATATATATATATATAAAAAGATAAATTAACTTGCATTTCATCCATACGGTTGTAGAGTAATTTAGAGAATATTAGAATTGTGTGTTGCCGATGAAGTAATTTTTTTTTTTAATAACATTATATATTTGGAAATAAAAAAAGACAAAAGAAATATATGATAAATTAATGGAAAATATAATTGATTTGTGCAAGTGTTAATATGGAAATTATATTATTTAATATATTATTGAAAAAGGATCTAATTATTATAAACAGAAAATGCTTAAAATAATAAAAGAAAACTTTGTTTGTCTTTCTTTAAATAAATTTGCTTCTAATGTTACTGAAAAATCTATACTTTTTTCAGATGATTCATTCAAATTAGGTGTTTTGGATGTTTTATTAAGCTAATTTAATAATTAAAGTTAAGAGTAAGAAATTTTTTATATTAGTTTTATAATATAATTTAAATAAAAGTACTGGCATTATTAAATTGACAAAAAATGCTTATGGAAATTATGTTGTATAGAGATTTTATGAGAAGTCTAATTTTGATATTAAATAAAAGTTGTGTGCTTATTTATTATAAAATGAGTTAATTTATAATGATATCGTATCAAATAGTTATGGTAAGCCTTTTTTTAAAAAAAATTCTTAAAATAAAAAAATTATTTTAGGTAAACATGTACTTACTCATATTGAGAAAAATAGAGTTGATAATATTAGAAATAATAGTTAAAATTTTATTCAAAATAATTAATTTTCTAATAGTAAAATTAAATAAAAGAAAAAATTTTGAAAAAAATAAAAAAAATGTAAAAATAAAAAATATTATTTGTTTGTAGAAATATTTTGTTTATAAATATTGTATTTATGTATTATTTTTTATATATGTATTTATTAATTGTAAATAATATTGATTTGTTTAAAAATTATGAATTAATATTAGTTTATTTTTTAGTTTTTTTTAATTCCATAATAAATAAAATAAAATAATTTTAAAAAAATAAATAAGCATTTATTTATATTTAAAATTTATAAGTTTAGTTGTTTTTTCGAATAATTTTTTTCTTTTTTTCCCTATTTATATTTTTAAATAATCATTTTATAACTTTTCTACATAATGGGCATTTACTATTTTTTAAATACCATGCTGAAATACATTATTTATGAAAAATTTTTTTACAACATTCAGAAAAATAAACTTATTCTTATTTTTCAAAATCTTATAAACAAATAATACATTAATTATCATCTTATTCGTCTCTACCAAGAAAATTTTTTATTTTTTTGAGAATATTCTAATATTCTTAAGTTTAAATTTTATTTTTTTTAATTTTCTTTTTTAAGCAACAACAAAATAATAAATAGAATATAATATAAACAGCTCCAAAAACAATCATGCACGCAGCAAATATTATCTTTAAAATAATCTAATTTTATAAGAATAAAATAATAGATAAAAATATTATTTTTTCATATTAAAAGCAAAAAGTTATAAATATTGAAGATATTGATATTGATAATATATACACTTAAAAAAATATGAAGAAAATATATTTTAAATCTTAAATTAATTAAGGTAAATTATATTATTTTAAAATTTATTCAAGCTAAACTCTAGGAATAAAAAAATGATTTATTTAATTAAAGTATAATGATTATTATAATAAATGATTTATAAAGATTTTATAGTATTCTTCTAATGCATCATTTTATTTGGGTACTAAAATATTATCATCTTAAATTTACTAATTTTAAATAGAATAAAAAAATATTAAATAGTTTAAGTCCTACATTTTTAAGAAATTTAATTTATTCGTTTATATTGTTTCATTTTAATTTCTTAATTATTCTTAAAATTAAATTATTTGATTTAAATTTTAAATAATTATTTGCTATTGATTTTCTTAAATATCACCATTTTATATAATACAATTTTAATTATTTATTTAATATTCGTTATTTTTTTAAATTTGTTTTTATATTTATTCTAAAATAACATTAAAAAATTATAATTTAGAAGGTTCAATTTTAAAATATTTAAAATACTATAAAGCTAATTTAAGTTTTCTTAATAAATTAAAATTCTCATATGAATATATTAATGCGCATAAGAAATAAGATAAAATAAATACTGTTATTGTAATATTACAAAATTCAATTATATCAAAAATTAATAAAATTAAAAATCCTATAGAAGATGGAAGAAATACTAAAAAAAGTAAAATAGTTTAATATTTATAGCTTACATATAAATCATTATTTAATTATCTATATATTTAAGCATTATGTAATAATTTTTTATGAAGTATATTTAAAATAGATTAACCTTATTATATTTAATTTTCTTAATTTTAATTTTAAGGCAGCTAATTTTATTCTTATTGATTATTTAAGTTTTATATATTATTATCAATGTTTTAATCTAAATTATCTTTTTATATAGGGAATTCTGTACTCATTTATTAATTTATTTCGTGTTGTGAATGATTTTGATTTTCTTATTAACTATCCGTGCCACGTAAAATATTATCTTTATTAGGATTTAATTAAATTTAAGTTTATAATATATCATTTTTATTTTTAAAGTTTTATTCCTATATTTATAATTCTATGTCTTATTTTTCTTAATAATTTTGTTAACATTCTATATTAATTTCATTTAAACCTTCTTTTAGTTCTATTTAATCTTATTTTTATATATTAACTTCGTTTTAGTCTTCATTAAAAGGAATTTATATAATATATTTTTACTATACTTTTTAAAAATTATTTTTTTATTATCAAATAAAATAAAAATATATTTATATTTTTTACTCCATTATTTTTTTTCTTGATCTTCTTATAATTAAATTTATTATTCTTAATTTTATATTTTTTCTGTACTTTCAATAAATTATTAGTTTTAAAAACATACTTTTTCTTGATTCATTTTTATTTTTTATTTTTTTTATAAAAAAATGTAATTAAAAGCCAAAAAAACTAATAAATTAATTAAATATTATTGTTAAATTATATTAATATAATCAATTTTATATATATATTATTATTTTAAATTTATAATTTATAATTTTTATATTATAGTTTTAGAATATTTTTCATAATTTCGTAAAATATAATAAAATTTAATATTTAATTTTATTATTATAATTTTCATTTTATATATTTTTTGTCATAGATATATAAAATTATAAAATATATATCTAATATATTTTAAAAGAAAAATAAAAATATAATAGAGTTTAATTAATTTAATAAATAAAAATTTAAAAAGTATAAAAATTGATTCAATATCTATGAATGCAAAACCCTAATTAAATAAAAAATTTAATTATATAATATTAATATATTTTAAAATATAAATATAGAACATTTAATATTATGCTAATTTAAAATTATGTGATTTAATCACTTTATAATCCATTTAATATATAATTTTATTTAAAATAAATATAATTTTTGAAAACATTTTGAATATATTTTTACAATAATATTTATTCTAAATTTATAGTTACTTATTTTGCTTATGATAATAAATTTATATTATGAATGATATTTGATATATAAAAGCTAAATATTATCCAGAAATTTAATATTAACAAAATAATTAAACTTTATATAAGAAAATATATTGAAAGATATTATATTTTATTAAAAAAAATAAAGTACGATCATATAAAATTTTTATTTTTTCTACATAATATTATGAATTTTATGTTTAAATTATATTAATTTCTTTTTTATATAAATAAAAAAATATATGGTCATATTAGTGAAATTTACGATTTTATTTAAAGTTATTAATAATTCAAATTAAATATATGGTGGAAAATATAAACAATTGTTTAAATCATTTTTTAAAGATATTAAATATCAGAAATAAAATTAAAAGAAAAAAATATGATAATTATATTCTATCTCAATATAAAACTATTTACATTATTAAAATATAATCGTTATATTTATAAAATTTATCTTTATAAATATCAATAAAAATAAAATAATAGAATTTATAAACTTATAGACTAAAATGCTCAGATTATAACAAAAAAATTATTTTTTATTTTTACAACAAATAATTTTAAGGAAAAAAAAAGGTTTGAATCAATTATTATATTATAGTATAAAAAGAATATTTTTTAAAAAAATTAATAAATAAATAGAATACATTTAATGCTTAAAATCTATTATGGGTAAAAAAAATTTGAATAGCATTTTTAAATTATTAGAAATAGATTGAAAAATCAGAATAAAAATATTTAATTAATGTTTTTAAATTATTATGAAGCCTAAAGAAAAATAAATATTCAAGATAGATAGCTCTTTTAATTTTAATAAAAACAGTAGTGAATTTTTATTATTTTTTAGTATATAAAATCAATAAAAATAATTTTCTAAATATTAAATCAATTATAGAAAAATATAATAAAGTTTTTTAAAAAGGAAATTGATAAGATAATAAGATAATAAACTAATTAATACTATTTAATAAATAATGGTATAATTTTTAGAAAGCAATAATTTAAATTAATTAAAAAAAAATCATAATTTTATTGAAAAAAATAAAAATATTTTATTATAAAAAAAATAAAAATTCTTTGAAAATTTAAGAGTTGTTAAAAATTAGTGAGAATTTTTTTATTAAATTAAAATTTATATAATATTATATTTAATTTTAATAAAAAATATAAGATATGGAGAACAAATAATTATAACATAAAAATAAAAACAGAAATTAACCTATCTATAAATTTTTGTGAATGTTTTAAAGAATTTTAAAAACTAAATAAGATTACAGTGCAAAAAAAAATATTACAATTAATTTTTTATTTTACAATTGTTTTTATATTTAATGTAGTAACTTACCATTAAAAGTTAAGATTTTATATAAAATAAATAAATTAATGAAAAAGTGTTTAAATTTTCAAATTTAAAAGATAAGAAAAAAGCTATTAAACTATTAAAAATATATATATAGTTTTTTTGTTTAATCTATAAAAAAAAAGAAAACTTTAAGATTTATTATTATTTATATTGTAATATAAAATTAATTATTTATTTAATTCAGTTTAAAAGTCTATTTAATATAATTTGATTTTGATTTTTTTTATTTTATAAATAATTACTATTTTTTTTTAAAAAATATTAAAATAAATAATAAATATGACTGAATAAATAATAGATAATAACGATAATAAAAAATATAAAATATTAATGAAGATGAAAGAATCGAAATTATATTGGAAATTAAAATCTTAATTATTAAAGGAACTTAAATTAAAATTACCTCATGACTTAATCAATCTCTAAACCATCCAACAATATTCCACTCAAAATGGAATAGAAGACCAATTGAAGTCCCTAATAATGAATTGTGCGAATAAAAGTGTCAAAATAGAGCCTATTTAATCCGATTAATACGATTTTATTAATCATTAAAAGCTAAAATGGACTGAATTGGTATTAAAAAATTATGACTATGTATATGAAAAATACAACCAATAAAAAGATGTAGAAAATGCGGATTTATTGTACATATATGACGAGAATAATTTCCTTAATTTTCTCTAATAAATAAGAAATCCTTCAATAATTTAAAGCGTTTCTTAAGGATTAATTAAAGTTCAATTTTAATAAAATATAAATATAAACGATTATAAAAGAAAATATGAATTATTACTATCTAATGATGTTATTGAAAATAGAAATTCATAAGAATATAAAAATAGAGAAAAAAAAGCGAAAAATCTTATTGATTCGGAAGCTTTAGCAAGTGAAATTTAATAAATCGCAAAAGGAGGTTTTCCAAATGGAGAAAGAGTGGAATTATATTTAAGATATTTTGGAATAGAATCAAATTCTTATAAAGTAAATATATAAATACATATATATATATATATATATATATATATATATATATATATATATATATATTATTTTATATTAAACAATTATTCATTATTAAGGTTTTTGCTAAATTAGAAGAAGAAAGTGAAAAAAAGCAATATTTATATGATGAATTATTAGAATTAGATTCTTGTGTATTTATTTTATTTTAAATTTTTTTTTATGTAATATTTTTTTATACTTTTTAATATAGAAAGTAGCTGATAGTGAATAATATTTTGTTTTTTAAGAAATCGTTGAAAGAATAACTTAAGCCTTTATAAGAGATAATTAAGTTAAAGAAAAAATAAAGATTTTTTCTTATGCTTTTCATAAACTAAATGAATAAAATTTATAAAAAATACCTTCTACAGTGTGTACTATTCCAATGAAACATTTTTCTTTATATGTTGCACCTTTTGGTTATTGTTCAAATAAAGTCGAAATTGTATATGGACTATTTAAAGAATTTTATTGCAATTTTTTCTGTTATTTACATACTATTACTTCTTTATAAAATGGAATTATTAATATATGTAATGTTTTTGAGGAATTATTCTTTTTCCAATGCCCAAAATTAGCTGAACATTTTGATTCTATAGGTATTTTTATTTATATATACGCATATAGTTTTTTTATTTCCACGTATATAATATTTTTGTTTAATTTTTTTTAAAAAAAGGAATTGAACCTTTAAGAATTTGTTTTCCTTGGATTTATTATTGTTTTATAGGATTTACAACAATAGAAAACTTATTTTTACTTTTCGATAGAATAATTGGGTATTAAAGTTTAGATATATTGGCTTTATATTCAGTTGGTGTTTTTAGATTATAGTAATAATAATTACTTAAATGTAAAAATCTAAATGGAATTAATTAGATTTTTAGTAATAATATAAAAGAGTCTTTTATTGATTGTATCAGAGCTGCTTTATAATGATTTTCTTTATTGTTTTTATTATATATGCTTATATTTTTTAATTTTTATTAATATTCCTTAAATATATATATATATTTTTAAAAAATATTCTTCAAAAATTATAAATTTGGTGTTTTAATCATTTAATTGAATAGATATTAATTTATAATATTTAAATTTTATTTTAAAATTTAATAATTAAATTTTTAAACATAAATATTATAAGGATATTTTTTGTTAAATTAATTATTTTATATTTTTAAAAGAGAACTAGAATGCTATTTTTCTACATTCTACAGAAATAAGATTTTAAGTGACTTTTTATAAAAGAAAAATACACTTTGAGTAATAAAGTATATTTAAGGTTCTTAAATAATGAGTATAATTTATTCTATATCTTTTAAAAATTTAAACTGAAATATTTAATGCAGTTTTTGGTAAAAATTGAAAAATTTAACAAATTGAATTTAAAGAATTTTTTTCTTGTAAAATAATTAATATAAGTTGTTAATAAAATTTAATATTTTTTAAAAAATTTAAACTTATTCGTTTTACCATAAAATATAAAAAAAAACATAATCTTTATTAAAATAATTCTTTTCATAATTAGATATTTTAAAAAATAATTTTTTAAAGTAATTTTAAATATTAATAGTCAAAAATCAAAATAGATATAGAGCTTTCATATATATATATATATATAAATATATATATATATATATATATATATATATATATATATATATATATATATAATCTATTTAAACTATTCTATAATTATTGTTAATCAATAGAGAAAATTTGATTATTTAATCTCTTTTTTTACCTTTTTCAAATGCTAAATCTCTTATTTTTATGCTTTTTTTCTCGAATGTTTATTATTTTAATATCTCTTTTTATATATATGTATCGCCTTTAGATAAAAATTATATAGTACGTAATAGGATATACTTTTTATTACGATTTGAAATTAAATTTAATTTGTTTCATAAAAATATAATCGAGTTTACATATTTAATATATTTTCTTTCTTATTAGTTTTCGAAATAGGCCTCTACTTTAATGCATTTTTTTAAAAACTGTATTTTCCAAAATAAATTTATTATTTCACTAAATATATATTTTATGAATTAAAAATAAACAAAAATTAAATAATTTTGCGCAAAGTACACATCTTACCATCTATTTTTTATAACTATCTTTATATAAGTACAGTTATTGTTTCTTTCAAAAAAATTATTTGAAAATTATGTATAATTTGCTGTTTTAGCTGTTTAGTTAGCATTAATTAAATATTTTAAATTAAAAAGTATAATAAGATAATGCTTTGCAATTCCGAAAGCATGTATTTTTTAGTTATATTTAAATATTTTTTTATTTCATATTTTACGTCAGCAAATATATTCATTGATCAAAATTTAAGTCTTGTGATTTTTAGATACATTAGTTATTATAAAATATTGATTATTAACAGAATTAAAATTGATAGTTTATTTGTTTAAAGTAGTAATTTAATAGAAATATTGTAATTATCATTTATATGTGATTATTCTTTTAAAAGGACGTTATTTACAATTTTTTTATTTAAATATTTAAATTTATATTAAAAAGAATTTTTTTTAATAAAAAGTATTATAATGTATAATATTTTAAAAAAAAATATTAATAAATTAAAATAATTTATTATTTTTACTATTTTTTTTTTATTAAAATGACAGATGAAAAATTCTATGATATGATATAAAGTTTAATTGTAGCATGTATTGTTTTATTTGTTATTATGTTACCAAGTTTATGTTTTAAAGTTGATTAAGAGCAATATGATTAGCTAAAAGAATAAGAAAGATAATCATTATTGAATAAATAAAATGAATATTATTAAAAAAAAAATATCTAAGACAATTTAAAAAAAAAATTCTGAAATATTAATATAAATAAGGGCTTTTTTTTTAGATATATATTTTTTATATATTAATATTGTTTAAAATATCATTAAAAATAATTTTAAAAGATTTTATTTTTTATATTAATATTATAAATAATTATTTTAATTTTTGAATCAAAAACTAAATTATATTTATATGAATAGTATTATAAAATAATATAAATTTATTAAAATAATATTATGTTATTAATAATTAATTTTAAATAAATAATTAAAATAATTTATATTATAAAAAAATAAATAAGTAATTTATGTTTTATTCCGATATTTTGTTTTTATTTAAAATAATATTATATTTTATTAATTATAATAGCTAAAGTATGATTAAAAATTAATTACCAATTATCAATCAATTTATATAAATAATGTCCTAATAAAAATTTTATAATTTTAATTTTTTTATATTAATATTTTATTTAAGGTTCTATAATATTTTATTACTTAAACTTATTTAAAATTTATGATTTTTAGATGCATTTTTAGTTATAGAATATGTTTCAGTATACAATTTCGAAATATATTTACTGTTATTACTAAATTATTTACTTATAAAGACTAATATAAAAAAAATTAATTTGGAATTTTTCGAAGAAAAAAATATAGATATTTAATGTTTTAATTTAAATATATTAATTATAAATTAAAAAATTATTTCCTGTTATAATTTAAATTAAATAAAATAAAAATTGTGATTTCTTAAAAATAATTTTATAAAAATGCTTATCTCATGATTTTCTTGTTTAATATATATTTTAGTTAATTAAATATATATTTATAAATTTATTAAAAATAATTTATGTATTTATATATATATAGTTAAAAGTATAGAAACACGTAATGTCTCAAATTTAGTTCAAAAATAAAAATAATTAAGTAATATATAACTTATTTTGATAAATTTTATTTAATATTTAATATATAAAAAAATTAATTTTGATACTTTTAGAGGATATAATAAATATTAATATGTGAAATCTTTTATATTTATTTTTATTAAAAATACATATTTCTTAATAGATAAATATTATATTTTTAATTGTTAATAAATTATTAAAGTTCTATTTAAATATTTATTATTATGTTAATTATTTAATTATATGTTTGTTATTTCAAAAATCTAATTAAATAATGTAATTATAATTTTTATATAGAAAATAATAAACATGAATTTATTTTAATAATATATTTTTTTCATTAAGTATAAATATATTTATTCTAAAAAATAAAATTTATAATAAATATTATATAAAAAGTGAAATATTTGTAAATTAATATATATGTTTAAAGAATAAAAATAAGATGCCTAAATTTATAAAAAATTATTATTTAATTTCTAAAAAATATATTTAATAAATTATTTTAATTTTTTAAAAATAACAAAAAAATATGGAAAATACATTAAATAATAATAAACTAAAACATTAAATACTCCAATCATAAACTAAAAAATGGAGATTTTAACATTTACGTTAACAAAATTGTGAATAATACATAAATATAGCAATTTCTCTTTAAAACCAAATAAAGCTTTTAAATGTGATAATTCACGATTTTAACTCACTTGAATAATTATTAAAAAATATAGAAAAAAACTAAAATATAACTTAGTTAAAAATTTGGGATGAAGCAAAAATAGTTCTTTTTAAAACACAATGTGAAGATTTTAAAGATAACCTTGATATTCTTTTCTAAATATTAGTCTAATACACATTTATACATTCATTAGGTCTTTCTTTCCAAACTAATACTTTCCATAGTAAAGATTTTATCCAAAAACTTTGCGAAAAAATGCTTTTAATGAAAAATTTGGAAGACATTTAATTAGATTTTGGCTTGTGTTAAATAGAAGATACTGACTTATTAATATATAGTGAAATTTTTTCAATGCAATTTTCCAATTTTTAAAATTTAAAAAATTTAACAATACGCTTTTCTAAAAATAATGTAACTACAATATCAACATTGACTTAATAATTAGAGAAATTACAAAATATAGATAAATTGAATTTATGCTTTTATGAAAATCGTATAGAAAATGAAGGTTTTACTCTTTTTACTTTAAATAAAAACATTAAAAATTTAAAACTTAATTTGAGAAAAAATTATTCTTTTTCAGAAGTCGGTTTGTAGTATTTGGCTTATTCTATTTCTTTTGTAAAAAATATGGTAATTTTAGTTGATTTTAAAATATATTTAATCGATTTTTTAATTGAAATGATTTCTAAATGTAATTATTTAGAAGTTAATAATGAGTTTTTGATTAAAATAGAAGATAATAGATAGGTTTATTAAATAAATGAAGAAGTTGATAATAATAAATGTATTAAATTAATATCGAAAATTGTCAAATAATATCAAAAATTAGAATCTGATAGTGAATATGGTGAATTAGAAGTTGAAAATGAAGACGATGAGTAATTTTATGATTAAGTAAATTAAATTTTTAACCAAAAATAGCAAATTATAGAAGAATATTCATTAGATAATGATAGTTATTCTAAAAAGAATTCAGATATATATTTAAAAATAAATTACATGTATGTTTTTACAATCATAAATAGAGAAATAAAACTCAATTTATCACAGTTTTCTTCATGTATTTTGGATAATGCATAGCTTTATTTTATTTTAAGAAATATTCCGCCTTCTGATCTTTTTGAAATTATTATTAATGAAGGATCTACGGATGATAAATAAATGGTATATTCTTTAGAAAAAATGAAAATTACTCTATATTTGAGCAAAAGTTAGAAAGTGATAAAAATTGATAACGAAATTTAATCTAAAGATATATTATTTTTAGATTTGGAAGATTAATATGTAAGTGATAATTAACTATATGAATTAAGTTAGCTTCTTTAGGTTAATTAATAGATAAAAAGCCTTAATGTTAATTTTCATAATACCTATTTTTCCGTGGAAAGTTTTGAAATACTTTCAAAATCTATTTGTGGTTTGATGAATTTAGAGTACTTAGAAATTAATTTAAAAGGTAATGATTAGGTTAATAAAGAACATTTGGAAGTTTTTGACAATATGAAAAATTGTAAATAATTTAAAATTATAATTGATGAGA